CTGTGGTACTGACCCATGAATAATATCCTTATAGTTGGCATTTGTTCATCTTTGAATTCCCTTCATGAATCGGGAATGGAGAAGATGGAAGAAAAATTCAGACAGCAGACATGTTCCCCACAATCAATTCAAAGTTCTAATCTTCAGTAAAAGGGATAGTGGCTGTGCCCCTGTGGTTTACTCCCTCTGTGTAATGCTTTTGCTCTTGTTCTTTAGTTGACCTGGTTTTGAACTTTTTTTTTTTTTTAACAGTTCTCGGTAAAATCAGGAGTGCTGTTGGGAGTGCCCAGCTTCTCATGTCTCAGAAATTCCAGCAATTTTATTGGCTTTGCCAACAAAATATGGTAAGTGAGTCCTCAAGTAACCTCGATTCCTTACAACCAAGCTGATGAGTGTCCATCTTATACATTCTCCCTAATGCTGAATAAATCTACAAATAGGACCTACTTCCCAGCTCTGGGGATGGACACTTTACAGGGCCCTAGTTTAAAGGAGCGACCAAGGCTGAGGCTGCAAGAGGGGACAGGTTGGAGGAGCAGGGAGCAGGGAGTGGGCAGGAAGACTGGAATTTCCAGCAGCATGGTATGAGATCGTACCTTTGCAGCTCAATTTTCTACCGGAGAATCTAAGAAGAGGAGATGAAAAGTAAATTGCTGTTATGGCTAAGTGACAAAGAAAATGATCTGAGGTAGCTGGGAATAAAAACATACAAACAAGTACATTTAAAAAGATTTAAGAAGAAATTTTAGAAATAATTGAGCCTTTAAATTTTATAGTCAGGAGCGAAACAAATACATTATGAACTTGATCACTTAATACAGTTGGTATTAAGCTTAGTTCTTCCTGACAATCAAAGGGAAAGAAAAACCATATATATTCAAGGAGGCTTCAGAAAGTTCATGGAAAAACTCATAATATCTTTTCATTTTATTTTTCTGTGGACTTTTTTGAAGTACCCTCATATAGATATTAACATGTACTTATATATGCATATATTTTTATATACACATATTAATATATGTTTGTATATATGATATACTTACCTACACACAGGTACATGTGCATACAAGAGTACTTCAAAAAGATTGTGGAAAAATAGAATTAAAAAATAATACAAATCTTTTCAGGAACTTTTTGAAGGCCCTCATACATATATATATTTTTTCTTATCTGACTAAAGAAAGCATTCACTTTATTTTATAAGAAGTAGCTAAATAGTATTCACTTTACAGGCTGTTTTACAATCCATACTTGATTTCTTTCAGAGCAAACATTTTCAGTAAAATGCACATGGGTCTCTGCTAGGCCTCTGTAACAGTGGTGCCAGGTGTTTTGATTATGCTTTGTTTGGTCTCTCATTTGCAAGGACATGTGAATATACAGGATGTTCTTGTGTCAAAGGAAGCACAAGTACATCAGAGCTGGCAATGCATGTCTTGTAATTAGGATCACTAAAAAATTTGTTTTCTCTAATAATTTACAATTAACTCCATTAAAATTCATCATAAAATGTTAAAAGTTACCAACATGTCGCCTTTGACAGTTATAATCAACATTTAAAAAGGGAAACAGAGGAAGATTTAACAACCTCAACCTTTTTTTTTTTTTTTTTTTGAGCTCTTACAACGAGAAAATGGAGGGGACACATCTGGGTGGGAGGGGGGAGAGGGAGGAGGGAGGGAGGTTTTGGTGATGGGACACAATAACTAACTACATTGTATATTGACAAAATAAAATAAATAAATAAATAAATTTCACAATTTCATTTTTAAAAAAAATAAAAAAAATAAAAAGGGAAACAGGTTTTGAGTCCCTTCAAAGAAACACAGAGCTATATAAACATTCACTTGTCATGTTTACTATGAATATGTTTTTGCCTCCTCCATAGTATCTATTGAATTATTATCTTTAAAGGAACTGATTTAGGCTGCTAAAGAACCTTGTATCCTATTATATGGAGTTGGGTAGTCAACTGTAGGTAGTCACTGTCTTTAGGAACTCATAATCTAAAGCATCCTGCATATAGTCAAAGGAACGTACTCACACCTATAAAATGTTCATTTTCTCTCTGCCAGAAGCGTCTAATATTAGACTTAAAATAATTCATTCTAATATCTTTGATCCCTTTTGAGTTTTGAAATATCTGGCTTGGCTACTTCCTTTTCTTTTGGGTTCTACTCAGTATTAGTACAAAAAAGCTCTGAAACATTTGTTGGGGAAGACTGGCATGAGGAGGGGAGTATGTCTGCAACAGGCCTGGCAGGAGAGAAATGCTGAAAATGTATGCAGATTCTGTGCTCACCAAAGCAAGGTTGTCCATGGTGTAAAGTAGCATCGCCAGTTGCTGGAAGTTTTAGGGAGGTAAGTAAGCTTTAAGTCAAGGAAATGACCCTAGGAAATGTCAGGACCCCACCCAGATATTTAGGACAGACTACACATTCTGTAGTGTAGTCATTCTTCAAGGTGAGATGTATAGGTGACTCATTATGTAACTAGCATAAAAAATAATCTCCCCAGAAACTTATAGCTTGATTCCTGTGCTGTGGGACCAGCAGTGTGGCGTCCCCAGAAAGCTTGTTAAAAATGCAGAATCTCATTCAGACCTGTAGAGTCTGACTCAGCAGTTTAACAAGGTCCACGGAGGTGTGCATGTCCAAGCACACCACTGACATGCAGAGAAATGCTGCACACCAGAACATGGGCAATGAAGTTCTCATCAAATGGACTCTAGATGTCAGGGCCAGGGAGCCATATAAATTTTAAGTGACTGTGATTTAACAAGGATATGTGGCCCCGCATTACTTAGCTGGGGGAGAGGGAATGGCATGGCACACCATCGACATTAAAAAAAAAATTATAAACATATCAGGGTATCTGAATTTCCAGTGGGTACAAATGCAATCACCATCCTCACCCCCCTGCCCAGAAAAAAACAACAGAAGACATAAAACCAAATCCTTACTATGCCAAGTTATAGCAATGCAGCCATGGCCTGTCATCTGAGACAAGCCCAAAGGACAGTTGTTTTGTCAGACTGGTGGAGTGACAGGTGAAGACAAGCATCTACTCTCGAGTCATGGGAGCCTCAGCAACACCACCAAGCACGCTCCTTTAGGTTTTCTCTTTGAAGCGTGGGAGGAGAAGCCATTTGGCTTTCTTCCCACAGCTTCAGACACCATCCTGTCTAAACCGATGAAAAGAGAGCAAGTTCCTCGTATCTGTAAAGTCTTCCAGAAGAAAGACATGCAGACCCTCCTTTAGTAACTCAATGGCATCTATAATGATGCCTCCTTGGGGGTGAGAAAGCCCCCACACCCAGCCTAGCCCTCCCGTGGCAGGTGCAGCTCAGCAGGCGTCTTGTTCCGACTTCAGTGCAGAATGTGGCCCTGCCTGCAAGATGTTTGGGTTTTCTTCACAAGTTGAGGTTGAATTCAGGATCAACGCAAATGAGTGCGACCTCCCCAGGGGCTCCTTAAAGGAACCCATCCCGCGATACCCGGGCACCGCTCCTGCTGGCATTTGGACAGCCCGCGAGTGCCCTCCTGTGGCTCACGGAGCGTAAGCCTGCTCTGAGCGCCAGTCCTCCTGCGGTGGGGAAGCGCAGGCTGTCACACACAAACCCTCTGACCACCGCCGCAGTGCCATCAGGTTGTGTAGGAGAGAATGGGATGGGGACCAAAAAGGAATCATTCTGAAATGGATGTCAAAACAGGTTAAAGGGATTTTAAACCAAAGCAAATAAAAGTTCATGTTATGCTTAATGTGAACTACTGATGAGTAAGCTGCAAAGTGCACATTTTAAGCAAATTCAGATCAATGTTTACTTACCAGAAATTTCTCTGATTGTTTAAGGCTACCAATTTGGGATAGCCCTCCAGCGAATCAAGGGAGCCACACACGGAAGAGTCATTCAATTTTAATTGTAGGCAATGAGTGGAAACTATATACAAGTGGTCTTCGAAAAGTTCACAGAAAGATTCATATTATCTTTTAATTCTGTTTTTCCACAAGCTTTTTGAAGTACCCTGGTATACCAGGCACTGTTCACAGAAACAAAATACGTCTGTGGGCCACATTAGGCCCATGGGCTGCCAGTCTGTGGCTGGGTGGCATCACCTGGACCTTCTGAGTGTGGGAACCTGTCAGTGGTTCTGTTCCTTCAGGAGATTTACTCACCTGTCCTCTCTCTACATAGGAGTAAGCTAAATATACATTACATTTGTAAGGCATCCATGGCCTTCAGAATTAGACCTAAGATCCATCAGAGATAGAACTGTTGCCAAGCCCATCCCCTCACCACTACGCCACCGCCAGTACATGGCAGACCCAGGTAGCCCCTATCCCTTCTGAATAATCCACAGGTGACCCCAAACACATGGCTCTCTTGCTTTTATGAACTGGCATGCATTAAAAAACTTTCATATTTGCCACCGTTCCCAGAATTTTCAAAATGGAACCATGAACTGATGTACTACATATTTTTAAACCGTCATCAAATACTTGTGCTAAAGTAAACTATTACTGAATCACCGTGAGCCTTCCCAAATATTTGTGTCAGTGTTTGAATTGGCCGGGCTTCTCCCTAATTCAGTTTCTTGAAACGCACACATGGGAAAAGCAGCCTCCCTCAGCCTTCTGCCAGCTGGAGACTCTCATGGCTCTAAATTCCCTGCATGTATTCACAGGACCCCAGCGCCATGCCGAGACCAACGTCCCAGGACCTAGCTGGGTACTGGGACATGCTGCAGCTTTCCATCGAGGACGTCAGCATGAAGTTTGATGAGCTGCACCAGCTGAAGCTCAATGACTGGAAGATAATAGAGTCACCAGAAAGAAAGGTGAGTATGCCCATACAGAGCAACTTCCCTGCAAACTGCTATCCATTGGCTTCCCAGCATCTAATCCAATGGCAGAAATGGTCTCGAAATGCTACATGATAATGGGTTTCCCAGTCTTCAGTTAGCAACACAGTGTCAAATTTTCAAATTCACACATGTGCACAAACTGGGGTGGAATTGAAGTCTTGGGCATGTATAGTAAGCAACGGTATCTTTCTTCCTATATCTCTTGCATATAGACAGTTCAGAGGGACACAAGCCAAAATCACACGTACATCTATAGTCTCGTTTCCTATAGGGATCTAGCCTCTGAATTTTCACCAAACCTTTGGACTATTAAAATGATCTCCCCCAGAGGTAGTTTTAGGTCTGGTTATAATGACTGTCGCCTTTTCAAATATGCCTTCTAGTTGTATGTCTAGGGGCAACATTTTTACCTTATTGAACAGTTTGATGATGTAATCTTCCTATAGATCAATCAATCTCAGTCTTTAAAATAGGCTAACAATGTCCATTAAATGTGAATCCTGGGATTTCACTTCTTCCATGATGATATCATCTTCAATAGAGCTAGTAAATAGGTCTGAGTTGGCAATAAATACATTGATTTTCTTACACATTTTAGAGAAGTTTTGAGTAATCATAATCTAATTCTTCTAGACAGACCTTATCAATTAAAATAAAATGATAGAGAAATTAATCCATCATACTTTTGGGCGGTGGTATTTAATGCAAAGCTGAGGCTATATGTCTGAATGATTAGGATGAAAAACAGTGCAGGTCATCATTATTATCTACTTCTCCCCAAAAGATGCCATTGGCTAGCTAGTGTAGTTCTAGGCTAGACACCACAGATGCCACCTCCAGCAACCAACAAGTTCTCCCTTACCACAGACAACAGGCAAGGGGGCGTGGGAAAGTATATGGTACACACAAGCCATGAATGGGACATAAGCAAGTCCAAGTCATCTGTGCTTTGGAAGTGACGGAGGTAATAAGTGACGATCCCAAGTGAAAATACTAAAATGGAACTTAAGTTAGTCCAAATGTATGCAATAATCCTTCCTAGTTTTCATTCTTCAGTAATAGAAAGCTAATATAAGCCCATCTGTGTAGGCTATACATAGAGAATGACGCTCAAAATGAAAACAGTTTCTTGCTGAGGATATAGAACTCCCCAGTTTAAAAAGTGAGCCGCTCTTTAACATAACTGAGGTTCTGAGTCCTAAAGAGTAGACCCTGTCTCTTCTGAACACATTTCTTAAAACTCTGAGTGCTGCAGCTCCGCAAGGCCATCTGGTCTACCCTCTTGTACTGCACATGCCTGGAGACTTTTAAGCCCCTTTAAAAGGGGGACTCTTGCATGAAATGTTAATGCATATTTCTTACAGTTCCATATTTCAGAGGCTACCAAGAGGAAAGAGATAAGTAAATACAGTCATGTACTTAATGTAGGAATTACATTTTTAAATAGCTAAACATTTCGGTAAATTAATTACCCCATTGTTTTAGATGCATGTCAAGTCAAAAGAAAGTCATTGGTTCTGGCCTAAGTCATTGCAAAATAAGCCATGGAAACAAAATTTCAGACACCAAGACAGTCTTCTTATCAAAACACTCTTATGGCCATCAGGGCAGTGCCACAGGTGTCCACCCTGTTCTTACATAGCTGTTCCTTTTCCCCCAGTGCCCAAACACGTCTGGCTCCCTTTGGATTTGGGGGAGAGGCTGAAAGGAGAAAGACACAGATGTGGGATCTTGGTGTTTTCTGGCCCCAACAACTAGATATCTGCTTAGAAAAGGAAAGTGATTCTGGCTCCTTCTGTAGTGTGTCCTTTCCTGAGAAGGAAATAATG